TTTTTTTTTCATTATTTTATAGGATCAATGAAGAAATATAACTGGGAAATTTTACATTAATGGAAAATGTCAAGTTCTATTTCCTGAGACCAAAAACTTGGGGTATTCTTTAATTGCCGGTTTGAAGGGAAATGTGTCTTCAATAATACCTTTTTAAAATCTGTTGAGCAACACGCATAACAACTTCCATCTATTGAAAAAATATATGACCGAATATAAATCTCGGTGTCCTTTACATATAATGAAAACAAAATCATCAAAGCCAGATAGAAATAAATATTCAAATATAAGGGGTTTCAAAGTTACTGACATGCTCTCAAGTTGAATTTGCATCAGATGAATACTCTATTGATGAAAATTTTGGAGAACTGGTACTTTCAGAATCAAGAAAGGCATACGGTTATGATTATTTTGATGTATTTCCAAATGGATCAGCAAGAATTTGCATTACAGACTTTGAAACGAGAGAGAAGTTAATGGTCAAAGAAGAGGAAAATGATATTTTACTTTCCGGAATAATTTTTATATAAGGTTTTTTCTATCATATTTCTAATATTAACATTTTTTGTATATTGGAATCTTACATACAACGTTATGTACAGGAGTTGGAGTAACTTTGCATTATGTTTGGTTAGTGGCTTTTTCATCAATGACCGCGTGTTGTTTTCACATTTTCAAAATTTTCCATTCTACTGGATTGATTAAGAAGATAAACATCGAACATTTAGAATATACATAACATTAATCATAATATGCCCTGCTTTTGTAGTTACTGTGAACATTATTGTTTTGTTCTCGGTTTATAATAATGGATATATATCGGTTATGGGTTACAAAAATGTTTTATTGACCATCTGATTTCACCTTTGTTATCATTTATTCTGCCAGTGAGTATTATGTTTGTCACAAATACAATATTTTTCATTGGTACCTGTGCCGTTACACGGCTTATATGTATATATGTGTTATTCCGCATTTGTCCATGTGAATTGTTTTAGTCTACCGTTTATATCCGTATACTACTTGTGTTACCATTCAGTGTTTCTCGTGCTTTCAACAACTCAACTGGCGCCTCTGCCGCACCACCGTCTTACCATCATGTTTTAAGACTTTACAGCCACATTAGAGTGAGTTAATTATGCTAAATCAATTTAATGTACATTTTCTTTATGTAAATTCAGTTATGAAATATTTCTTTGTGTAAATTTAACTTTAAGAGGGCTGGGTGGTTGTGGCCATTTTCAGACTATATTGATCTTCTTTAGAAGAAGAGCTCCATATAAATATATACAAAAATGATCAAATTTTAAAGCTAAAATGTATGAAATTTTTGTCTGCCAAATGATAGTTGACAGCTTAAGATATCATATCTAAAAAAAAATAAGTTATATCTGATGGTTAATTTGTTGACACCCCCCCCCCCCAGCCTCCTTAAACTTACAAATTTCAGTGTCAATGTCAGTGATGTGTATTTAGTTTTGTTTTGTTCTTGTTTTGTAGCCTTTATCGTAATATCATCTATATGTCATCCTAAATAAAATTCTGAAATGATGATTGAGGCGTCATAGTACCATTACTTTATTCAAGAAAGTTCCAATGTCCCTGGGAACAAAGCAATGAGAAATGAATTTTTGATTTTTTTTCTCTCGCCTGTTTGCTACATGTGTATAAATGGAGTAACCTGGACTTTGCAAGCCATTGATGGTTATATTCCTTTTACAATCTTTACAATTATTTCATCGGTTATTAATAACCTACAGGGTATTGTAATTTTTGTTGCTTTTATCTGTAAGAAAAGAGTCTACTCTCTTTTAGGAAAGAAATATAGACAAAAAGCACACTCCGTTGGTAGAATACAGGAAAATAAGGAATCTAATTCGGAAAAAAATTCCGATTACCAAGTTGTAAACTTGAAGAAATCTACATTATTTTTACTGAGCTATTTATTTATTGTGATAGATCTTTCTGTTCATAACATATATGTAACCTAAAAAAAAAATTTTTCAATAAATATTACATGTATCAAAAAATAATGCAAAAATGTTATAAATATAAAAAAAAGATATGACTAAGATTTTTCAGTTGTTGTGTTTGTCGTGTGAAAGCTTGGGATTTCACTGTTTTGTTATGCTTTTTACCTAGTTATACATGCTTTCCATAAAGCGATGATTTTTTTTTCCGTGATCAACCCGACTTAAAGGAGACGAGGCCATTGCTTATGAAATACAAGATACCTTTCTTTAATAAAACTACCCGTCACTATAACTAAAACTCTTTTTTTTTTAGCTTGAATTGAAAATTAAAGAGTACATTTTGTGCATGTTTGATGTGCCATAACATTATTTATCTTTCGATTGTCAGAGAACCTGGTGGTTTTGAGACAAACGTCTGACAAACTGATCCCGATCATTTTTTTTCCCTCGAAGATGGAGGGGGAGGTTTAATGGTTTAGCTCAAGTTCATTTGACCTTTTCTGATCACTTGCTGTCTGTTGTCTCTCTGTCTGTCCGTCTGTTAACTTTTCACATTGTCGACATCTCCATAACCACTTGACCATTTTCAACAAAATCTACCACAAAGCATCCTTGGATAAAGAAAATCTAAGTTCTCTTTTCTATCGTAGAGCCACGCCCTCCTAAAAGGAGAGAAAATCAGGAAAAGAAAATAAAATACTTCACAAGAACTACTTGTCTAGAAAAAAAATTGAATCTTATGTAAAAGCTTCCTGACATAGTATGAATTTTCCCCCTGGGTAACGGTTTACCCACAATGTGAGTTTAAAGTTTTTAGATAGGAATATTTAGGGAAAATATTTAAAAAATAATCTTCATATGAAAATGCAAGTATTTTAAAGAATGTGTTCAAACATACAGGTGAAAATCTATAAAAATCTTTTTCTCAAGAACAACTTAGTCATGATTCTCATATTTGTATACAAGCATCCCTCGGGTAGTGCTTGTTCAAAGAAGGAGTAGGTAGTGGCCATGATAGGGAATCAGAGGTTTACTTTGGAATATTTAACAAATTGCGTATACACAGAAACAATTTTGGAAAAATCTTTTCCAATACAGCAAGGCAATATTGATACTGAATTACTCTCATCTTATTTGAGTTCCACTTCAGCTTTATGTACCCCTTTCCTCGGAGCTATTTATGGAGTCAATTTTTTTCATGAGAAATATATGGAAAAAATCTCTTATAAATCACTCAGCAAGATCAAGGTGATTCAGTTGAGCGTTATTGCAAATGGACCTCTTATTGTCTTATCTGTTCTATCTTCCTGACTGTAGAACTATAATATTTGGTTCAACTCTTGAACAGTAGTAAACTCCTCAAGTTTGTCACTCATAGTCAGCTATGTAATAACTGTTCAAAAGTTCATGTATTCAAATGAGGGACCCTGTCACCCTCTATGCTCAGCAAGTAGGAGTAATCAGTTGTCACAATGGATAAAAACAGTAGCCTAACAGTTGGTGGGAAACTACAACACAATGAAAGATTGTGTTTGTAAAATAAAAGGCATTATTGCGACCATAAAATTTTTGAAATGCTGACTTAAAAAAAACCCTTTAACATCGAAGTATATGTCCATAGCCTGTCTCGGTTTAAAAAAATTGATCGGACTCGGAACATGCTGTTGATTTAGTTGGGCAACAAAAACACCGTACGCAGGTGACTGTAAAATATTACATAAATAGGTCAAGTTGACGATGGAAAAGCTGAAGCCATCTTGTTTGTCATATAGTTTAGTTGTTAGTTGGCATTATCGTCTACAGTCAGTAAAACATCTTAGCATGAGGCTGTAGCAGACTACGGTGTCTTATTTCGAGTTCACTGGGATATATCGAGTTGAAGATGAAAGAAAACAGCCAAAATATACTTAAATCTCTCCTTATAATAAATGTACATATTGAATTTCTTTAATCTATTATCATGTTTTCTGTGTCATTTGTCCTTTGATTTGTAATTGTATAAAGTTTTCTTTTTTGACAAACATACATGCATTCTTTAAAATGTAGTACACATTTTTGATGGTATGTAAAAGGAACAAACAATAACACTGTTTTACTGCCGAATGTTTTTGTCACAACTACTTCTTAACAATAAGCTTTGAAACAGTCAAAAGAGATCGAATTTTAATGACAAAATGAAATTATTGCATGAGAGGTTTTAAGATTTTTTCAGCAAAGAAAAATCATTTTCCAATATTTCTGCCTATATTTCTCCCTCAATCATGCCAGTCATTGTTCATTCAAACTCTACAAAATGAACACTAACTTTCAAATTATGGGATTCTAAAATACATTTCAATTTTAGGAAGCATTAATACGCTTTCCTATCAGTGTTGTGCTTTTCTTAGTATTCTTATAGTCCTTTTTTGCAGTAAATGGGATATTTAATCACTTATGACAGGGAAAGCGAAACCTTCTAAAGACAGATACAGTGACTATTTGGCTAATTATTCTCGGTTAAGATCAAATAACTCAGCTAAGAAAGTTCTTCTGAAGGGGTGCGATACGACATTTCATCCCAGGATTCTCTCGGTCATGTGAATGTCTAGGCCAATCAGATGACGTATTTGTATAGAAACCTTCTAATGGGGCATAATAGTTACATTCACAGGAGGTATCTGTGTTCCTCGGTTTGACCGTGGTCTATATATAAACATAACTATCCAATCGGAACGCATAACATACCCCCACCCCCCCACACACACACCAAAAATATGAATACCTACTCGATCGAGATAGCAAGCAGAGGACATATTTATTTAGTAGGTATTTTGTATTGTATACATTGATAGCATACAATAATAGAATTAATTGATAATACATGTATAATTATTCTTCAATAAATATAAAACCGTCATTTATGATTATGTTTACACGGTATTAATCATACACGAACACAGTATGTATTGATTTTCTTTTACTCATTAATGAACCTACAAAAGAGAGCACCTGTTTGGAAAAAAAAATATGGAAAGAAATCAATTTTACCGATAGAAATTCTTTACTTTCATATAGTAATTCCCGTATACGCTTTGGCGCCTGTCAGCAATCACTGCCTTCCACATAAGATCGATTTCTTTATCCCTAGCCGGCATCACTAGATATTTACATTCCCTCCTCAATTCTTTGTAACATTTAAGACCCTCCGGATGCATAAAGGTTAAGTTTCCTCCGAAATTCTCGTGAACCACATTCTTCACACGACTTGGAAGCAAGCCAAATAAATAGAAGTCATCCACCCAAAAGAATGGCGCTGTAAACACCGCCTGATATAGAGCTGGAATCAGGTCTGTTGATATAAACACCACAAATCCACTGCAATATGTGTGTGGATACGTGTTTTGAGCTTTGTAAAATATGTCGCTCACAAACCACTTGCTCGAATTTTTCCGGATAATTGGCATTGAATTGGGATTGATTTTATTGCAGAAAATGAAACGTTTTCGTTGTTTCAAAAAAGAAAAATCTTCAAAAAACTTGAAAAAATTAATAAATGAATCATCATCTATTTTTATCACAATTTCTGCATTCATGCAGTTTTCTGTAATCCACCTGTATCCCATTACACCCTTGTTGGTGAGGTTTCTATATGAGTCCACAAATTCACCTTGAATTATATCGTGATAAAGAGAATTCTCTTTTTCCAACGTTTTTTGGATTGTTTTATTACTTGTTGTACCAACTAAGAATATCACTCTCAAGTTTTCCGGACTATAGTGGGAGATATTTAGCCACGTCCTTCGCATCTCTTTCCTTCTCCAGAAGTTCCCAACAGAAGTATGCACCATCACCAGTGCTGAGATCTTATCATACTGTCGACACAGGTTTCTGTTATTAATGAGATAGGGCGCGTACATACCGACTGGGTATTTGGTTCTTGTTTTTATGATTCTAATCCCTGTTGTGGTCTCCTGGTTTATATCGTACATGGGTTCTAGTATAGTAAGCCTGTCTCCTGTTTCTTCATAATAAACATGTATATTTTCATTATCCATTGTTAAAAACAATAAAGTAAACATCACTAAACACGACAGACTAACGAATTTCAAATAAGAATAGTGTCTGTGCATATCTGTCTCTTTTGGTGTCTTTAGAATCTGAAAAACAAGAAGTAAATCTTATCACACCAGCACATATACCATATATACATGTATTATAACAAACCACCTGTATTAAGTTAATCATCAACTCCAACATACCCAATGCTTTTTAAAACTCACGTTGATTTTTCCATATAAATAATCAAACTATAACTCTTAAGAAAATACTGATACTGAAAATGGAATAGGATTGTCCCAAGAAAAAAATGTTTATTGTTGTGTAAATGTACTCTTCATTTTGGTAAACTGTTTTGTTAAAGTTTTATGTCTTCTATTTTTTTATCTAGTAACTATCTGAAACAGATATAGATCCGCATTTACTTAAATTACTTAAATCTAAATTTTATCAGTTTCATGCTTAAAACTGTAACCTTCCATCATTTGGCTAGTTTTCAGTGTATTCAAACCATAAAAGATTTTGATGTGTGTCTAAATCTTTAAGAAATGAATAAGAAATAAATAATAATTTTAAAAAGTTCTCTGGGAAATTTCGTTATTATTTATTACTCATATTTACATTTGAGGCGAATATTCGAATCAAAAAATCACACGAATGGTCGGCCACATCACTATATTGTGACTTGCAGTGACCTAGAAGTTATTGGTCATGAAAGTTTGCCTAGCTCCATCATTTGAATTTAGCAATCAAGTTCAGGAAATTTCTGTTTATAATGATAGAACAATGATCGGTATTGAGAATAACCTTTTGGTACTATTTTATGAGTTCCATATATATGTGAAGTCAAAAGCGGTGGTATTATCCATTCAAAGAACTTCGGGCAAATAATGCAAACTCAATTTTAAATATTATTATTTAAACCATTCTTCACACAGAAGGAAAATCTAATGGACACATGTTTCATTTTTTTTTCTATTTTTCATCATTTAGGAAATACATGAAATTCCTATTCTGCTTAGGAAATACGTGTATTTACTGTTTTCAGTTAGGAAATACATATATTTACTGAATTTTTCAATACTTTTTACACATATTTATTGATTGTGTTTTTGGTGAGATAATTTGAAATATGAATCATAAATATAAAAAGATGCACAGTATAAATTAAATTCAATATTTACTTTACTCGCTAAAATCCAGTGAGTAAATTTCAATAACTTGTACATACAACAGTCTTTAATTAATTCTCATTCCATATAAATAATCGACGTTGTTAGCAATTCATAATTATAATAAATTGTCAGCAGCAAATACTTGATGATGCTATCTGAAGAGTGTTTTAAACGCTCTAGACCAAGATAAAACACAGCTATGTAGCAACAAATAATTGCTTTGAATAAACAGGTTCTAAAATCACATTATTGATTATCTGAAAACTTACCAAGGCAGAACGGAACTTTGGTGTGTTTCTGCTTCAGTACATCTTATAATTATGTAAATACATTGAGCAAAAGCTCTGAATTGATAATGATTATACAGTCTGGCTTTTCTTGAGTTTTTCACCTTATTAAAACATATTTCATTGTGTAATATAAGGAAAGATTCGATACAAGTTCTGAAAATTTCGCAAATCTTTGGCTAAAATGATTGCCGTTAATTAAACGCCGATACAGAAGTTTGCAAAATGGCCGAACCCTACAATCTCGTCAACATTTCGCAACACATCGACATTTGTCTGCATTTGCCAACACATTTTTTGCCGAAAATTTGAGGATTATTCCACCTCCCCACAAAAAATACACCCATCCACGAAACATGGGTGTTTGCAGTGTGGACACTTTAGCTCTCTCTCTCTCTCTCTCTCTCTCTCTCTCTCTCTCTCTGCTTATTGTGGTGTTTTCATCCGTTTTATTTATTAACTTTTGCTTTTTCTTTTTCTGGCTGGACACCCCATACTTACTGTGAAAAAGGATGTTATGTGCATGACACCCGGCCCATCCCTATTGTGAAAAAGGATGTTATTTGTCTGAACACCCTGAAAATCCTTAGAGAGCCACCATATACCTTCATAAGATACTTATACATTGAAAATCTACATGAGCCTTAAATTATGCTGTTCTACTTTAGTCTATAAAAGAGTGGGTTTCCAAATAGCGTACTTTTTTCCTTAAATCTTTCTTTGAAGTAGTAATAAATGTTGAAAGAACATTATATTTTGTCAGGGACAAAGTTACAGTGTATACATGTACATGTATAGAGTTTGAATCAAACTACTAGTACGATGTGTGGTGATTAAAACCTAATTAGAACAGAGTTATTCAGTATAATGAAAGCGAAAAAGCATTGAAAGATGGATCACTTAATATTGCAAATCCAATCACTTTATATAACTTCACGAGGCGAAACACACCAAAGTTTTTAATGAATTTTTAAATTTATCTCTTTTGTAATTTAACTAAGGCAGAAGGACAGGTAAAGCTTTTAGGTTCATAAAATGGATATTTTTAAACATATTGATTTAAATAGCAAACGTTATTTCTGTTTTATGGAAATTGGTTATGTAAACAAGTTGATAAACACAAATTTTATTCAAAATTAATTCAATGATAAGTTATATAGATGGAAAAGATTAAGATGAAGAACTGTGATTAAATCTTATAAATCCAGTAAACAAAACGAAACACGAACAGGGGAAAACACAGAAAGAGGCAGATAGATCAGTCAAATCAGGAGTTAGCCCCCCTATATAACAGTTAGTTTGTAAAATGTCACCCATATTACGATCCAAGTACAGACTGTATTTGCAAATATAACTCTTATAACGACCATAAAATTTGCGAAATGCTGATGAGATTGTAGAAAGCCTTCCTATATCAACTTATATATCAATAGCCAGTCTAGGTTAAAAATTGATCGTACTCAGAGCATGTTCTTGCCTACCGAATTATTTTTGGAGGCATAAACGCCATATATAGGCGATAATGGAATATTTTAGTTATTAACTAAAATAGAAAAAATGAACTCGTCCTTTTTGTCGTAGTAGTTGTTAGTTTGTTCAAAACGTCTATGGTCTGTAACATTCAAATTTAAAACAGATGTGCCAGAGTCTGTGATGTTTTTTTTTTATTTCGAATTCACTGGGATTGATCGGGTCGACATATAAATGAATTCAGTGTAACTCTTGAAGAAATCTAAATGCATTGAATAATTGAAAGCCACAGAAAGAGTTTTCTTCCTCATGTACAAGTAATGCTGCTTCATAGAATATAAAAACAGTTTGACCAAAAAGGAGCAAAATTAGCTCCGATCAGATTTCCTACAAACTGGTGAAAGACCTGGTCCATAAATACTACATAGATATGTATGGCCAGGAACTCCAGCATCTTTTTAATGTAAGCTTCAGATTAATTGTACATGTATGTAGGTCATAGAAGATCATCATTCAACATAAGAAATGATTTTTTTTCTATGTAAAGCTGCAAACGAACAGATACAATTTTTTAAACACAATTTCCACAAATACAATATTTTGGTATTATGATTTTGTTTTCTAAAGACTCCTGATTTAATTTATACATCCTTATACCCATTACAATTACTCTGATTTCATAATAAAAAGATGTTTCAAACTTATATGAAGAAGAGTAATGACAGATTCTCCTACCGTTACATTCAAAAAAGGAAAATATCTTATAAAACTAAAATTATACTAATTAATAATGTCCACTTTTATAATATGGTTAAAGAAATACTTCAAACGCACATTCCATTAATTGAAGAAAATATTTTAACTCCTATTACATAATTTTTGAACATCAGAAACTCCCAAATGAAATGTATGGAGATAACGAACAGTATTCAAGCTCAAAAACGTCCATTAAACAATACAAATTTTGGAGCAGAAAAAACACGGACCTCTAAAACATCAGAGGTGGGATCAAATGCCATGGAGGAGTGAGCATCTCCGGTCACACCCGCCGTGTGCTCCTTGTCATGATCGGGAAATAACGAAAAAATCCGACAATTGTGTAAATAATAGCCTAACATTTAGTATAAATAACTTCAGTCAACAATCCA